GTATAGGAACTAATTAGTGCATCACCACGTACTAAAGGTAAGTTATTTCTCAGTTATATGTATGTATATATATTTACATATGCATACGGTGTGCTGGACTATGATATACAGTGTGTTTCTTTGGGTCACGGCCAGATGAATGAAGTTACTGCTGTGAAAGAAGCTCATAGCACAATAAACTGCTGTCCTCCTTCCACCCCACTGGATTGTCCCCAAGTCCCAGAGTTGACACTGACACAGACTAGCTGGGAAAGAGCAGTGCCCCACATAACTTGGTGGCTTTCACAGCTGCATTCAAACCCTGTGCTTTTCAGAAAGCAGATGGCTCAGGGTAACAGATTCCAAGTATAACAGGGCAGGTTTCTAAATTCTGAAGCCACCTGTGCCCCACCTCCCCCGCACCTCCTCCCCAATAGTCAGCCTTATCTTCAGGTTGAGCTGGGGTCTGCTGAGTTTCCCTTTTGGGTTTCAGTGCGTGACCCACTTTGGGCTGGCCAAGTTCTTTGAAAACATGAGCGTTGGGGGTGCTCACGAAGGACTTGGGCGGCGGTGATGGCAGTGATGTGACTGCTCTGAAAGTCTGCTTTGCTCTTTCCCATGGTGGCTGTCAACCCTCACTCACTCTACCTGGAGATTCACTTTTTTGTTCTGTCTTGGCTGGCCTAGGCTGGGGCTGATGACACTTCTTTCTGAAATCTCACCCCCTGGTTTCTCTGGGTGCCATCTGAGGTCAGCAGCCATTGAATTTCCTGTTGGTGGGAAGAATTTTCACACTGGTGTGCAGGCCCCTTCTATGCTATACTGTCTTGACTAGTTCTCGAGAGCAACCAAAGGATGCATGTACAAGATGCCCCTAGGCCTGTGTGTTCTAGCCCACTATTGCTGGTTGCCCTTGAGGAGATCACCAAGTGGCATTTGTGAGGCTGGTGCCAAAAGAGTGGGTTTCCTTCTCGAAAATTAGTAAGCACACTGGAAGTACAGTTTTGTTCTTAATTTCTTCCCTCTCCACTTTTTCTAAGAACCCTCTTCTCTGTTACTGATTAGTGAGGCTCTGTAACTTCATGTCTCTCAGCAGCCTCCTTTTGATTAAAGTCATAGCTGCCCTCAAATGTTTACTGTGAAAGACAGTTCTGGATATTTAGATTTTCATTTTTCTTTTTTAAGTTCCGTTTCAAACACTTAAAAATGGAGCCCTCTTTAGATTTATCAGTGTGGTGTGTAGTTAGTGAATGTAGAGACACGATTCCTTGAGCCTCGGTTTCCATGTTTGTAAAAAGGGAAGGGTGTTGCCTTGAAGGACGGAGGTGAAGGTTTTCAAATGACTTGGTGTATCAGTGAAAAGGGCTCAAGGTGGAGGAGGTGAACAATAGATATGTCTTTTGCTTTCATCTCTGATTTGGAGGTAAGGAGTGACCTGTGTACTTTTGCTGACTTCATGGATCTTGGGGCTTTCTGAATTGTTTGACCTGATTTCTGTATGTTGCCCCTCTTCTCACCCTCAGTTATGGAAGAGATGCTTGGGGGCTGAAGGATTTGTTTTGTATTATCTTTTTCTCAACTGACCTTTCTTCAACTGAACTGTGGATTTCTTTTCCTGCTGGTTGGCTGTGTCCTGAATTCCCCTTCGCTCCCTCCACATCACCCACCCGCTTCTTTCACATGCATCCAAGGACTCTGGAGTGCTTTTAGAAGCCTGGTTTTGTGTATGTTAGCTCTGGGCCAGATGGCAGGGGACAGCTTGCTTAGTCCCTGCCCCTTCCTGTCTGTCTGTGGGTCTTCTTGAAGAAGCTTGCTTTAGAAGATCCTAGGAAGATGACATTTTCTTTAATGAAGGACTGACTACACCAGCAAAAGAAGTTATCAGAAGTCATGTCAGGCCACAAATCCAAAGACCTGGATTTTAGAGCCACTGACAGGACTAGTTAGTGTAGGACCAAACCCGTTTGCTCCCAAGCCCCCTTTCTTATTCATGATGGGCAGGAGTTGATGACTGGGCTTTTGGTGTTACCCACTCCAGGCCCTGTAGTACAGTGGAACCTCATTTCTCAAAATTAATTCATTCCAGAAAGCTGTTCAAAAACGGAATCATTTTTTCCCATTAGAAATAATATAAATTGAATTAATCCATGCCAGACCCCCAAATGATTACCTGTTTTAACCTTTCTTATATACAGTACATGTCTAATGTACTGTTTGTTCTATAAACACTTTAAAAACAAAAAGGACATGAAGTGTAAATGAAAATTTAACAAAAAGGAAATGAAAAAAACAGTAAAAATGAAAATTTAATAATGGTAAGCAGCATCAAAAGCAAAAAAATAAAAAACCCCACAAAAATATTCACAGCATAATTTCCTGAGCTGTTAACAACGTGAGGTTTAGCGGTAAACTGACTCATACTTATGCATTCTCTCCTTTGTTTGTCGCCTGAGAGATGCATGGCTGATCATACAGGTATCAGCATGAAAGGGTTGTGGGGTTGAGAAGCGAATTGCTTGAGATGGGAGACATTTGAGAACCGAGGTTTGACTATATTCTCATCCAAAGACCTCTGGCGGGACACATGAGTCCTAGTTCATGGAGAAAGACACACATTTCTTCTGGAGCTTCCAGACTCTCTCAACCTTCCTCATGCCGCAACCCTTTAATACAGTTCCTCATGTTGTGGTGACCCCCAATTTCATTGTTACAAATTGAACATAATTAAAGCATAGTGATTCATCACAAAACAGTATGTAATTATATATGTGTTTTCCGATGGTCTTAGGCGACCCCTGTGAAAGGGTCGTTCAACCCCCAAAGGGGTTGCGACCCACAGGTTGAGAACCGCTGCTCTAGATCCATATATATGGTTCAAGTTTTCCCCTAGGGTGCTAACAAAAAGATTTTTTATAGTCACTTCTGTGTCTGGTGGTTTCCTAGCCACATGTTCCATGAAGGCAGGGAAGCTGGGAATGAATAGGTGGGTAAAAGGCAGGTTTAAAAAAAAAAGACTGAATGAAGGAGGGAGGAGGGAGGGATTTTGTCTATTGTTGCCATCTCCCTTGATCTACTCCTGGAAAGGATTGGAGATGGGGTTGGGGTAAGACCCCGGTCTACCTCACCCAAGTAGCAACAGTTTACTGGTTGAGAGGTTTTGATCCTCACTGCTGACCTTGAGCCATTTACTCAGCTTCCATTTCATCATCTGTAAGATGATAATAATACTGCCTACTTCAGAGGATTAAAAGCACCTATCTCATGGATTGCTGTGAGGATTTAATTTATAGTATATGTCCCTAACACCATAGTAACTACTGTATTTGGGTCAGCTAGTGATATTCTGTTTCTGTAAAGGTAATTGATTACGTGTTTTTAAAAAATTGCAATCATTTTCAGAAATGTCAACATCATCAAATTACCTCTAGGAAGCGAAAGGTCTGAGCAATTGCCTCAGCTCCTGTCAGATTTCTGTACATGTTTTAGCTAATGCTTCTCTCACTGCCTTAATCTGTAAGCACTTGATACTCATATGAGAACAGTGATTTCCCCATGAGCCGTGACCTCACACCTGGCAGGGACTGGCTGAAATACAGCTGGCTTATGCCACTCAGACCTTGGGGTCCGATTTGCCTGGTGAAGGAAGACCAAGACAAACAACCATCTACGATTGATTCAGCCCCCGTTCTGTACCAGGCCTGGCATCTGGCTTGATGTCCTCATTTCTCTTGACTGCCCTGTGCTTGGTGTGCACATCCTGGATACCCTGTGCTGTATTTTAAGGTGAGGGGGTGAGGCTCAGGGAGGTTAGGTGCCTTGCTAGGCTGTTATGGCAATGGGATGAGGGTTGCAGTGGGATCCAGGCCTCTACGACCCCAGGTTACTTCCTTTTCTGCTGACCTCTTTCCTGGTCACCAGTCACTTTCTCTCTTTTGCTGCTTCCGGTGCCCCATAGTCCTCACCTGCTCTTTCTTTTTTTTTTTTTTTTTTTTTTTTTTTTTTTTGAAGAAACTCCATGCTGTTATCCACAGTGGCTGCATCAGTCTGCATTCCCACCATTGGTGTACTAAATGCTCAACAACACTACTAATCATCAGAGAAATCAAATTAAAGCAATCTATATTTTAAGAATGGAGACATAATATAGTAACTTTTCTATTAGTATTGAGGTTAGTGCCCTTGAAAACTATTTTTTTAATATATTTTATTGATTTTTTACAGAGAGAAAGGGAGAGAGATAGAGAGCTAGAAACATCGATGAGAGAGAAACATCGATCAGTTGCCTCCTGCACATCTCCCACTGGGGATATGCCCGCAACCCAGGTACATGCCCTTGACCGGAATTGAACCTGGGACCCTTCAGTCCGCAGGCCGACGCTCTATCCACTGAGCCAAACCGGTTCCGGCGAGGTTAATGCCCTTGAAAACTTTAAGAGAGGAGAACTCACCTGCTCTTTCTTGGAAAAGATGGGTTTCTGCATAGCTCGGAAGATACCCTAAAGAAATGATCCAAGTTGCTCATGAAGTTGTAGGCAACCGTTTCTGCTGAAGCCTGCTCTGTGAGTGTAAAATAGAAGAAACAACTAGCTGCTCAGTAGGACAGGAATGGGCACATGCCCTCTGGCAAGCCCATATGATGAGAGTAGTAAGCAGCTATTTCAAATGTTTACAGAAGTATTGAATGGTGCTTCTTACTGTTAAATGGACAAAGCCAGTGCAACATTATATCTGCAAAATCTAAACACTTTCATAGAATGTCTGGAATTAAATTTTCCAGAATGGTAATGGTGGTTGTCTCTGGCTAATGTGGCACTTTTTATTGCTTTATGCTTCCCTGTATTTTGTAAATTTTTTACATTGAGTGTGTAGGACTTTTATAATCGGGATGGAAGGAGGCAGCAGAAGAGAGAAAAGCAGCTGTCAAGTGAGGGTAGCCACCACAGAGGCTCAGAAGTGGCTGGTGGATGGCAGAACTGGCTTCTCAGGGCTCAGATCCATGTGTTGTTTCCTTTGTCCCACAGGCCTAACGAGGAAGAGCTGAGGATGAAGAGCTCGGATGATAATACCCCTGCTGTGGGTAAGCAATTGGCAGGTGGTAGGAGTTTTAGCTTATATTTGTCATTTTTTTCTTCCTCCCTCTTTCCTTTCTATACAAATTAAGAGGCACTTCTACCTTAGACTGTCACAGAAAGCTTCAGAGGCAAAACTGCCTATTGGCTAGGACAGATTTTCTTAACCAAACCAGGCCTGCTTGTAAGCCTGCCTCACCCCAATGCTGCCCTTTTCTTCTCTCCAGCAGATCATCTTGATGTCCAGGAGTCAGTGGGTCCCCTGGTGGCTCCCACTCCTCTCCGTCCATGGCCACAGATGACACATCAGGTAAGCAGGCCCTGGAAGCCTCGGGACAGACAGCCCAATGGGAGACTGGGTGGTGGAGCTGACTTGTTCTGGGTCCACCCTCGGTTAGAGGGAGATCCCCCAAATCATAACCTGATGGTGGAAGGGTAGAATGCAGTTTTTTACCTCAGCTTATCTTAATGTCAGTTGGTAACTTAGCAAATGTTTATTGAATGCTTGGTCTGTGCAAAGCACTGTTAGGGAATATGGTAGTGACCAGAAATGATGTCGTCCTGGGGCTTACTTACATTTTAGTGGTGTGAGACATAACAGAACAATAGATAAATATATGGTGTTTTGGATAATGGTGAGTGCTAAGGGGGGGAAAAAGGGATAAGGAAAGAGAGGGAGGAAAGGAGGAAGGAAGGGAGGGGGAGAGAGAGAACGGGGTGGGGTGGGGACAAGTTTGCAACTTTAGATTTTAAAGTGGCTAGGGAAGTGATATTTGAGCAAAGATGTGAAGAAGGTGAGAATGAGCCACGTGGATAACTAGGGGAAGGTCATTCCAGGCAAATGCAAAGTCCTAGAGCAGGGCCATGACTAATGTGTGTGAGGAACAGTGAATGAGGGGCAGCAGGGGGAGGTGAGGTTGGAGAGATGGCAGGGACAGATTGTATAGGGCCTCATGGACCATGGAGAAGACTCTGATTTCTACTCTGAGCGACAAGGGAACCACGGGAGGGTCACCAACTGAGAAGGGCCATGACATGACCTAGGATTTAACAGGCTCCCTCTGGCTGCTGTGAGGGACATAGATTGTAGGGGTGAGGCTGAAGCAGGGGGACTGTGAAGAGGAGGTGACTGTAGTGGTCTAGGTGAGTGATGGTGGTGCTGACAACAGGGTGGAGAAACTCAGGAGATGTATGTTAATGTGTGTGCTAACTTTTTATTATATATTTTTTCAAGTATAAGTAAAAGTAGAGACTAGTATAATGAACCCACATATACCCATCACCCAGCTTCAACAAACTTCAACACATGTCCATTCCTACGTTTTTATATCCCAACCCTTCTCTCCCTTCCCATTCTCTGTGGAATTATTTTGGAAAAAATCTAGACATTATCCCATGCGTAAATACTTCAGTTTGTATCTCATAAAATTAATAACTCTTAAAAAAAACACAGTGCTATCATCACACTTCAGAAAATTAACATTAATTTTAACAAAAATTAACAAAAGTAATTCCTTAGTGTCATTGAATATTTGGTTAATGTTCAAATTTCCTTATTTCATAAGTTTTTAGGATCCAAAAAGGTCAACACATTGTATTTGGTTGATGGATTGGTCCTTTTAGATTTTTAAATCTCCTCACTTTTGTTGCAATTTGTTCAAGAAACCTTGTTTGTCCTGTAGAATTTCTCACAGTATGGATTTGGCTGATTGCACCCATGTGGAAACACATTTCTTACTCAATTTTTAAGTAGATGCTCAACCACTGAGCCACACCGGCCGGGCTTTTATTGAGTTGTTATTAATTTATTAATTCAATGTAATTATTTGGATCTATTAAATTTAATCAATTTATTAAACTATTACTTTTTAAAAAATATATTTTTGTTGATTTCAGAGAGGAAGGGAGAGGGAGAGAGAGATAGAAAGAGCAATGATAAGAGAGAATCATTGATCGGGTGCCTTCTGCATACCCCTCACTGGAGATTGAGCCTGCAACCCGGGAATGTGCCCTTGACTGGAATCAAACCCAGGACCCTTTAGTCCGCAGGTCAACGCGCTATCCACTGAGCCAAATCGGCTAGGGCTAAACTATTACTTTTATTAAATTAATTTATTAGATACAAATATATTATTATTAAAGTAGTTTAAATAGAATTGATTCTGTTTAATTCTCTTATTCCCCCTTTGTTTATTGGCCAGAATTTATTTCTAAGGAAAAACTTTCTCACATCAACTGTCTGACTACCTTGACAGTGTGTAATCTTTTTTTTTTTTTTTTTTAATATATTTTATTGATTTTTTACAGAGAGGAAGGGAGAGAGATAGAGAGTTAGAAACATCGATGAGAGAGAAACATCGATCAGCTGCCTCCTGCACATCTCCCACTGGGGATGTGCCCGCAACCCAGGTACATGCCCTTGACCGGAATCGAACCTGGGACCTTTCAGTCCGCAGGCTGACGCTCTATCCACTGAGCCAAACCGGTTTTGGCCACAGTGTGTAATCTTGAAGGTATATAGTTTGTATAGAAAAAGCTGTATAAATAATTGATTTTCCCCTTCTTATTTACCAATTTTCAGAAGAAATCAACTTCTTCAAAGGTGACCAAATAAAGGATTTTTGGTTTTGGTATATCATTATTAACTCATGAATTTTAAACGTATTTGATGAGTTTCAATTCATTGCCCTTATTTTTTTTTGATGCTTAAATTAAACTGCCTCTGGCCAGTGGAAGCTTTTTTAGATTGGTGCCACAGTCCTTTTGACACATACCCATCATTCTTTGAGCACTTCTTCACATTATAGGACTTTACCTGCCCCAAAATTGGAAATAGCCATTTATTTAAGGAGCCCTAACTCCTTTTAGTGGAGAATGCTATTTAGATCTGGGGACTAGGTATGCCCGTTGCTACTAAATTGATCATTATTTCTAGGCCTTGTCAAAAGCCAGAGCTAGGAAATATTTTTTTAAATAAAAATTGCATAAATTCATGTGAATATTCTAGATATGTTTTGGAAGCCAACCAGCAGTATTCACCTCAGCTATATGATCTGGAGCAGTGGTTCTCAACCTTCCTAATGCTGCGACCCTTTAATACAGTTCCTCATGTTGTGGTGACCCCCAACCGTAAAATTATTTTCGTTGCTACTTCATAACTGTAATTTTGCTACTGTTATGAATCGTAATGTAAATATCTGATATGCAGGATGTATTTTCATTGTTACACATTGAACATAGTTAAAGCATAGTGATTAATCACAAAAACAATATGTAATTATATATGTGTTTTCCGATGGTCTTAGGCGACCCCTGTGAAAGGGTCATTCGACCCCCAAGGGGTCGCGACCCACAGGTTGAGAACCGCTGATCTGGAGGAAGCCTCCTTTACTTCATTTGATTTTATTATTTTAATATAGATGACAGTCTGGAATTTAGAGAATTATAGAAGGCCCTTTAAGGAGTTTTTATCTAGAAATACCTATGGGTCTGGGTGTGGGCTGTTACCAGTTTTCACTGCTTGTTCCACCCCCTCCTCTACTTCATCTCCTTCCATTTCTCCCCCACCCCAGGTTTCTGAAGTTACAGTGACTGGCAGACTCACAGAGGAAGGTGACATCCCCAGAAACAGTGCATCTGTGGCTTTCACAGAGGTCCACCAGACACCAGCCATCAGGATCCCCCCCTCCTCCTTTCTCTGTGGGCTGGGTGGCTCCCCCAGGGACCAGGCCTCGGGGCCTGATGCAAGTGAGGGGGCAGCTGGGCCTCTCCTGGAACCTAGTCAGCCACAGGTGGAGGCTGCGTGGGAAGTATCCAGCGAGAATGGAGGGGGCCGAAAGGAGCCCATGGTAGGGGCTATTATGGACGAGCCCCCCAGGGGTTTGGAGGCCATGAGTGGGTTGGAGGAGCTGCTCAGCGAGGACTCCATTGACCAGGAGCTGGAGCAGCTCTACCTGTCCCACCTGAGCCGCCTGCGGGCTGCTGTGGCTGCAGGTGGGGCAGGAAATGGCGGGGAGGGCTCCACAGATGGAGGGGTGTCTCCTAGCCATCCCCTGGGCATATTCACGGACCGCGACCTGATCTTGAAGTGGCCTGGCCCTGAGCGGGCCCTGAACAGCGCCCTGGCAGAAGAGATCACACTGCACTATGCCCGGCTGGGGCGTGGTGTGGAGCTTATCAAAGACACTGAGGACCCTGATGAGGAGGGGGAGGGTGAAGAGGGGCTCTCCACAATACCCTCCAGTCCAGAAGGAGGCACCCCCAAGGAATCACCTCCGGAAATCCTCTCTGGGGCCCGTTCTGTGGTAGCTACTATGGGAGATGTGTGGCTCCCATGGGCAGGGGGCTTGGCATGTGACAGCCCTGTGGTTTTGGGTCCAGAGGGGCAGTTCAATGGGGCGCCAGAGAAGGGGATGCGCAAGGACACTGACTCTTTGCACACGAATAGGGTAATATCTGGGGTACCTGGGTTCCCAGGAGGGACAGAAGCCCGGATGGAGTCCACTGAATGGGCAGACAGCTTGGTTCCTGTATCTGGCAAGGAGCCAGCTGTTTCAGGCCCGCAGGAGCAAAATCTCACCCTCCTTGGCGTCTCAGGGGCTGAAATTGGTCCTTCCAGCCTGGCCAGGTGCCATGTGAGTTTCCAGGATGAAGAGGGTTCAGGCCTAAGCCTTGAGTCCCCAAAGAGGTCTCCCACCTTAGCAGCCCCTGCAGAATGTGTGTGTGTTTTGTCTCCCCAGCTCTGGGGGCCCTTGACCCAGACTCTGGGAGTCCTGGCTGGCCTGGTAGTGGTCCCTGTGGCTCTGAACAGTGGTATGTCCCTCCTGGTGCTTGCGCTGTGCCTCTCTCTGGCCTGGTTCTCGTAGGAGCTGCTTGTGGGACCAGCAATAACAAGTGTCCCTCCCCCCTCTGGGGTTTGGGGAGGGGCAGCCCTTGCACCATCCCCAGAGGGTTCATATGGGATGTGTGGCCTGTACAGTGAGTGGATCCTTTACTTCTGAGAATGCTTGACTGTAGAGAGGCCTCCCCGTCCCTGAGCTCTCCAGTCAGCACAGGGCTCCTGTGGTGATACCAGTGGAGAGGAACAGGGGACGGGTGGATAGTGGAAATGAGAACTTGCAGAATGGCACTGGGCATGTCCTCCTCCCCCCTCCACCCCCCTGAGCCTGTATTTATTTTTGTATAATTCTCTGGATGAGGGAGAGTGGTCGTGAGCTGGTCTTGGGGCACAATTACCCAGAGATATATTTATTAACAGCCAACCTGTGCAACCTGCTGGAGCTTTATTTTTAATTTAATTTATATAGAGTACCTATTATTATATGCCACAATAGAGCTCTATGAGAAATGATGTGTCTTGCTGTGCAGTGTTCTCCTGTTCAGGAATGAGTGTGCAGGGTGATCATATGGGAGTGTCACAGTGGGAAGTGGCATGTGGAATGTGAGGTGTGGTCATGCCTGCTGCTGCTGCTGCTGCTTCAACATGTCATTGAGGATCTGTATTGTCTCACCTTATTGTCCTAATACATGTGGTCTGGTGGTCTTTGGGAGACAGGCCCACATTCTGTCAGGGAGGGAAGAAGAGTGGCAGCCACATGAGGGTTTGATGTCACACATGTGGTTGCAGTAGTGGATGTGGTCAGCTGTGGATGTGGAGACATTGGTTGTGAATCAGCCACAAGATTTTGAAGTTACTTTAAAAAAACAGCCTTTCACACCAACAGGGAGATCCTTTGGTCTCCAAGACTGGGAAGGCCTCAGAAAGGACAAAGGTGTTAATGTACTGTGAAAAATTCATGCCAGAGTTGCTGTCCACAGACATTGTATTTCTAACTCAAAACAGGAAACCTAGAAGCTTTGAAATAATGGCTAGATATATTTACAACATGCAACTTAAAAACGCTGCAGAGCAAAATAAAACACCATATATTTATTTACTTTCCTTCACAGCAAAACTTTATACTAGTTTTTCTTTAGTTATTCTCCTCCAGAGCTCCAGGGTCACTGGTTGTTATATCAATGTTCTAGTTTCAGACCTTATCTTACTTGACCTAATGGCAGCATTTGACACAGTTGATCATCTCAAACTTGAAATCCTTTCTTCATTTGGTTTCCAGGACACCACACTCGCCAACTTTTCCTCTTTGCACACAAGCCATTCTTCTAGAACAGTTCTTGGCACATAGTAGATGCTCAATGAAATAAATGAAGGAACAAGCTAATGCATGTGAGGAAATATAGGCAGGTGGCTAGAGAACTTATTTAGTCATTCATTGGTTGTAAGCTCAATTCAGTTCCATAAGTGTTGACTGGTCACCTCTGCTCTGCACTGAAGACAGATGAAGAAGCTCAGTGTATGGGGAAAGACACAGAGAAAGAATTTCAGTGGAGTGTGGTTAGTCCATTGACAATGATGGGTACAGTGGGCTGTGGAGGCTCCAGGATAGATGTTTAGCCTAGTGTAGGGAATCTGGGAGCCTTAGAGGACACGATGCTTGAATTGAATTTTAAAAATTGAGAAAGAATCCGCAGTCCAGTCAGAAGGAATGGCATTGAAGAGGTCTGGAAGTGGAACACAACTAGTGAAAACAAATCAGCACACCCATATTTCACCTGTCTTTCAATGAGGATATTCTGACTTTGTCAAATATCAAAATCCAGACATGTGTTTGTGTCCTTCCATTAATGTGGTAATTTGATCAATGTTCCAAAAGGCAACTTTATGCCAATTACATTGAACAATTAGATAAAATGGACAAATTACTACAGACATATATCTTGCCAAAACTGTCTCAAAAAAAGGAAACTCTGGGTAGCCCTGTTAAGTAACAGAACCTGTAGACAAAGGTCTTTCTACACAGAAACTCTGGGCTCAGATGGGTTCACTGGTGAAACACTCAAGGAATAAGTAATTTCAATTTTACAAAGCAATTCCAGCCCACCTCGAATGGCTCAGTCGTGGAGCATTGACCTAGGAACCAGGAGGTCATGGTTCGATTCCCAGTCAGGGCACATGCCCGGGTTGCTGGCTCAATCCCCAGTGTGGGGCATGCAGGAGGCAGCCAGTCAATGGTTCTCTGTCATTGTTAATGTTTCTATCTCTCTCCCTCTCCCTTCCTCTCTGAAATCAATAAAAAGATATTTAAAAAAATCCACAAAGAACAAAAGCAATTCCAGAGTGTAGAAAAAGAGGGAGCATTCCTAATTCATTTTATAACCTTGATACTAAAACCTGATGAGTGAAAAACAAATATTACAGAACAATCTCAAAAAAATAGATGCAAATATTTTAAACCAAGTGATAACTCCCTGTCTTGTCTGTTCAGGCTGACTAGATGGCTAATAAACAAAAATTATTTCTCACACATACTAAGGCTGGGAAGTCAAGATCAAGGTGCCGGCAGTTTTGGTGTATTGTGAGGGCCAGCTTGTTGGTTCACAGTCAGCTGTCTTCTCACTGTGTCCTTACAGAGTGAGAGGATGAAATCAATATCTGGAGTCTCTTTTATAAGGGCACTAATCCCATTCATGAGGGTTCCACCCTCATGACCTAATCACCTCCCAAAGGCTTCACCTCCTAATACCATCACATTGGGGATTAGGTTTCAATATATAAATTTTGAAGGGACAGAAATATTCAGTCTATAGCACTGCCAAAGTCCAATACAGATGTTCTTTGACTTAATAGGGTTCCTTCCCAATAAACCCATCATAAGTTGAAAGTATTGTAAGTTGAAAATGTGTTTAATACACCTACCCTACCTAACATCACAGCTTAATCTAGCCTACATTAAATGTGCCAGGAACACTTAGATTATCCTACAGTTGGGCAATTATCTTGAGTTTTACGCCAAGTAATTGCCTTCCTCGTCTCACCAGAAGCAGAGGACACAGTTGCGTGTTTTGTAGACATGATGGGATGTTAAAACACAAAACACAATATCCAAAAAATGATGGTAACACAAGACACTGTATAGTACTGGTTGTTTATTCTTGTGATTTTGTAGCTGACTAGGAGCTTTGGCTCACTGCTGCCCAGCATCACAAGAGAGTATCATACTGCATATTGCTAGCCTGGGGAAAGATCAAAATTCAAAATCTGAACACGGTTTCTACTGAATGTGTATCGCTTTTGCATTATCATAAAATCGAAAAAGTTTTAAGTTGAACCATCATAAGTCGGGGACCATTTGTATATTAAAAAGTATAATATGACCAAGTTGGATTTATTCCAAAAACTGCACTGTGATTTAACATTTGAATTTAAACAGCATAATTTGCTCCATTAGCAAATTAAACAAGAAAAACCACAACTATCTTAATAGATGTAGAGCAAGCATGTAAAATTCAAAGGCTAACCTGGGCCAAATAAACAAGGTTTAAATTTATGTGTGCCACAAAAAAACAAAAGCTTCAATTTTCATAAAAACATAGGTTTATTTTGATAGAGACATGCTGAATACAAAGGGCTGAAATAAATGAGTCATCATTAACAAAATAATAGAACATTTTAATAAAAATTAATATTTTTTCTTGAACATTAACTTACCAGACACTGAATAACTGCACAAATTAATAAGCATAACACAAATAAACCTATTTTTCTTGCTCTCCGAAAGCAAAATATTTCCTGTTGCGCACACCAAACAAGTCAGTCCAAGACGAATGACGTGGCAGTCGGCTGCTAAAATATTCACTGCTAGTATCAGTGGAGAGAAATGGTGTGCCTGCATGTAAGGCGGGTAAGGGAAATGAATGCAACACGATTATAGTAATCAGTCATTAGCGAACATTGTAGTTAATTATTAATAATTATGTATAACAGGATATTGTAAAAATTAAGTTATCAAATTTTAATTAAAATGTTTCTTACATACCGTTATATTGGCTGGGCCGCAAAAATATTTATTGTGGGCCGCATATGGCCCATGGGCCGTGAGTTTGACAAAGAGATAAAATTTGATTTAGCAAGTTCGTTGAATAAACCTACTTAACATAAAGGGTAGCTACAAAGATTTACAATAAACTACATACTTAGAAGTGAAATGTTAAGAGCTTTGACCTTTGGAATGTAGCAAGCATGCCTGCTGTCACCATTTCTACTCAGCATTGTACTGGAGGTCCGAGCAAGCCCATTAAGTCAAGAAAGAGAAAATATTTGCCCTACCTAGTTTGGCTCAGTGGATAGAGCGTCAGCCTGCAGACTGAAGGGTCCCAGGTTCAATTCTGGTCAAGGGCATGTGCCTGGGTTGCAGGTTCGAACCTCAGTAGGGGGCGTGCAGGAGGCAGCCAGTCAATGATTTTCTCTCATTGATGTTTCTCTCTGAAATCAATAAAAAATATTAAAAATATTTAATGACCCAGCGCAGTGGCTCAGTGACTGAGTGCTGACCTAGGAACCAGGAGGTCACAGTTTGATTCCTGGTCAGGGCATATGCCCAAGTTTCGGGCTCAATCCCCAATCGGGGAGAAGGCACTAATCAATGATTCTCTCTCACCATCTCTCTCTCCCTCTCCCTTCCTCTCTTAAGCCAATAAAGATATAAAAAAAAATTTAATGATTGGAAATGAACAGAATTGTCATTATTTGTAGATGATACCGTTGTGTTGTAGAAAATCCAAAATAATCCATGGATAAATTATTAGCGTTATTAAGAATTTTAAAAGATTAAAAAATTTTTTTTATTGCCCGGCCTGTGTGGTTCAGTGGTTGAGCATCAACCTATGAATCAGGAGGTCACAGTTCACTTCCTAGTCAGAGAGGAAGGGATAGAGAGAGAAAAATAGAAACATCAGCGATGAGAGAGAATCATTGATTGCCTGCCTCCCATGCCCCACATTGGGGATTGAGCCTGCAACTCGGGCAAGAATTTTGAAAGATTTTTTATACAAAATCCATATTTAAATATCCATTGCTTTTATATGCTAATAACAAAGAAAAGTTTTAATAAAGATACCATTTATGCCCCAGCCAGTTTGGCTCAGATAGAGCGTAGGCCTGCAGACTGAAGGGTCCCAGGTTTGATTCCGGTCAAGGGCATGTACCTTGATTGTGGGCACATCCCCAGTAGGGGGTGTGCAGGAGGCGGCTGATTGATGTTTCTCTCTCATCGATGTTTCTAACTATCCCTCTCCCTTCCTCTCTGTAAAAAAATCAATAAAATATATTAAAAATAAAAAAACTTAAAAAAGATACCATTTATGAACTGAAATTAACAAAAGGAAGTAAGATCTCTTTGTGTTTTTCTTCGTTAATCCTAGAAATATTTTTCCATTGATTTTTTTTTTAATTTTTTTTTTAAAATATATATTTTATTGATTTTTTACAGAGAGGAAGGGAGAGGGATAGAGAGTTAGAAACATCGAAGAGAGAGAAACATCGATCAGCCGCCTCCTGCACACCTCCTACTGGGGATGTGCCCGCAACCAAGGTACATGCCCTTGACCGGAATCGAACCTGGGACCTTTTAGTCCGCAGGCCGACGCTCCATCCACTGAGCCAAACCGGTCACGGCTTTCCATTGATTTTTTAGAGAGATGGGAAGGAAGGGTGATAGACAGAGAAAGAAACATCAATGTGAGAGAGGCACATGGGTTTGTTGCCTTTCATTGGTTGCCTCCGGCACCCACCCTGACCAGGACCGGGGATGGAGCCTTCAACCAGAATTGAATACGGGACCCTTCAGTCCACAGGCCCACGCTCAATCCACTGAGCCAAACCAGCTAGGGTGCAAGATCTCTGGAAAAAAGAAAACCTAAAAAAAAGAAAGCCTTGAAAGACATTAAAAAGGACTAAGTAAATAAATGTGTTCATCAAATGGAAGTGTCAATGTTTTTCAACTGTAAGTTCCCTTTAAACTGTTTTGTAGGTTCAGTGCAAATCCAGTTGTGATTCCAATAGATTTCTGTGTATGTATCATCACAAGTTAATTCTTAAACTTATGTCTAAGTGCCCACTAGCCAGGATGCCCATACTTACTATAAAAGTACTAGAGGCCCGGTGCACAACATTCGTGCACTGGGGGGTGGGGGTCCTTCAGCCCAGCCTGCACCCTCTCGCAGTCCGGGACCCCTTGCTCCTTACTGCCTGCCTGCAGCAGAGGCCGGAGAGGCTCCCGCTACTGCCGCTGCGCCGCCAGCCATGAGCTGGCTGAGCAGTGCTCCCGCTGTGGGAGCACACTGACCACCAGGGGGCAGCTCCTGTGTTGAGCATCTGCCCCCTGGTGGTCAGTGCACGTCATAGTGACCGGTCATTCAGCCGTTCAGTCGATTTGCATATTAGCCTTCTATTATATAGGATAGCAATTAAGATGGTGTAATATTGTTGCAAGAGTTGACAAATAGACTAGTGAAAGACCAGTGGTCTCAGAAACAGACCCATTTTTATGGAGACACAGAATAGGTGGCCAAGGAGGTACTGTGAGACTAGAGGGAGATAGTTGGACTTTAAGTAAATGGAGCATCAGTTATCCATATTAAAAACATATGAAATTGGATCCCTACCTCACAACATCACAAAATAATTCTAAGTGGATTCAAAATCTAGAGAACTTGAAGAATTTAAGAGAAGAATACCTTCATATACTCATGGTAGAAAAGTTTTTCTTAAACAAGACACAAAAACATCATAAATGAAAATTGTAAAACATTTAATTAAATTAAAATTAAAAATGTCTATTGATTAAAGAGCACCATAAAGAGAGTGAAGACCACAATTGGGACACAAGTTGGGAGAAGGTAATTGAAATGTGAGTGATGAAAGGCTCAAACCTAGAATATATTAAAAACTACAAATAGAAAACCCAGATGTGCTAGTAAGTATATAAATAAATTGTATATTCACAGAATAGAATATTATACAATGAAAATGAAAGATCTACAAGTACATGGAACAGCCTGGATGAGTTGCACAGATGTCATGTTGAGCAAAAGAAGTCAAACACAAATGATTACACACTGTATGACCCATTTACACAAAGTTCAAAAACAGGCAAAACGAATCCATTACTAGTGGTAAAATCATAAAGAAAAGCAAGGGAATGATTATCACCAAATCATGATAGTATTTACTTCTGGGGGAGGGAGGCTGTGATTGGGAAGGGACCCAAGGGACTTCTGAAATGTTTATAATGGTCTGATTGACCTGGATGGTTGTTCATGGATATGCAATTCATTAATGTTCATTAACGTACATTTCTCAGGCAAAAACACCCCCCCCCCCCAAAAAAACCACAACTAAAACAAAAGGCAGTGGGAGTAATGTGGCTCTCCTGCACTCCTCCACACAGGCTCTGGGCAACACCAGTTTTTTTGTCTAGACCACAACGTGTAGGTGGTCTACCTTTTCAGAACCTCCCTTGGGGTCAGGGTCTTGCCTTCAGCCCTGGAAGTTATCGATGCTTCCTCAGCCCTGTCCGCGGAAGTTATGTTTTGGGGAATTGTTTAGTCTGTATTTCCTGACACCAGTCATGGGGTGAGGACATCCCTAAGTGTCAAGGGATGGATAGGATCTGGCATTTTGTCCTCAGATGTTGGAGTCCATCTCCCCTTGGACCTCATTCATACATGGTTTTAGAACCTGATAGATCTCATTTAAAATCCCGAACCCCAAGTCCTGGTTGTGTGAACTTGGGCAAGTCATCTGTCCTCTCCAAGCTCAGTCTCTCATTCATAAAAGGGAGTGAATGCCCACTAAACTTTGGGGCAAACGTGTACTGGCTTTCACTTGTGACCACATTTGATTTAAATTTGTTATATTATCAATATGAAACTACTGATCTAATAGTCCAGGCAGGGTGAGAAAGAGGAGGAGCTCTGGAATGACACAGTCTAGGACTAAATTGCAGCCATGTCACACATTGGGCAAGTTACTTAAGCTGGCTGTGTTGCACTTTGCTCCTCACACGGGTATGGTAAGGGTTGAATGAGATAACACATCAGTCACTTAGATCAATGCCTGGCACAGAACAAGAATTGAATGAATGTCAGCTGTCACCAGTCCCCAGAACTCTTATAATAACTATCAGCCATGATACCCTGTCACCTCACTCAAGTGTATGTATTCCAGTGTTAGATAATGTGCAAGGTGGGGACCTCCTTGTACCCCAGGTCCCTTCCCAGCCTGCCCCCTTGACAGCACTAGGCCCTACACACCCTCACCAGAGGATCTGCATCTTCTTCAGTCTCCCCCTGTCTCTGAGGCTGACAGAGGGGACAGGGACACCATGTCATAGGGGTCACAGCACTGGGCATTTCTGAATGGGAGAAAGAAAGTGAGTTGGAAGGACATGTGTTCCTTCCTCTAGTAGTTTCATATTGATAATATAACAAATTTAAAACAAACTTAGTAGCTTAAAAACCAGCTGCCAGCAGGGCTGTGTT